TTTGTTCACTTGCAGGTGAGCAAATGGGGATTACTGGGAAGTCCAAGATCAAGGTGGTACAGGCATCTCAGGGGTCTGAACTCCTTCTGGGTAGGGCTTAATCTTACCCACCCTACCAGTTAGCTACTGAACATGCTACTCCTAAAGCATGCATGAATGGATATAGATATTACATGGAATAATAGAATTGGAATTTCTGTATCATTCCCATAATTTATGGAGAAAAAATAGCATATTTGATGAGCTTCTGAAAAAGCTGCCATAAAAGGGGTTGTGGTCTGAATGTTTGTATCCACACAAAAATTTAAATGTTGAAATCCCAACCCCAAGAAGATGATATTAAGAGGTGAAGCCTTTTGCAGACAGATTAGGTCTTGAGGACACAACCTTCATTGGATTAGGTCCCTTATAATAGAGTCCCAAGCGAGTTTTTTTGACCCTCCACCACATGAAGATCCAGTAAGAAGGTGTCATTCTGTGAACCAGGAAGTGGTGCCTCATCAGACATTGAATCTGTGGCACCTTGATCTTGGACTTACCAGCCTCCAGAACTGAGAGAAATAAATTTATTATTTACAGACTATCTAGTCTATGGTATTTTGTTATAGCAGCTGAATGGACCATTCAGGTTTTCCCCAACCTAAGTATTTATACATCACAGACATCTCTGCATCTCCTTGAAACACTGGTTGACAAAGGGCATCTCAGGAGCCAAAGGGACACAACCTCACAGGCATGCTGGGAAACAAGCATCTTATGACCGTCCCCTCCCCTGGTCAATATGCAAGGCACTGGGGTGGGCTATAGGTATGATCTGAGAGTAGAAAATTAAGGTTTTACTTCCCAAATCCACATAGCCCTTGGTTTTCTTGAAAGGATCTTAATGCCCTGAGCAATTTCTTTTATTTACATGGAAAGTAGCCAAAGAAAGGCATTGTAATAATAGTTTACTTAGGTAATAATAGTTTACTTAGGTTTAAAGAACAATTCCAATCTGACAGCCATCAAGAAATACTGATTATGCCTGCCTGCACACCCTGAGCTGTAAAAGGTGTTAACATTATCATGCTAGTTCTACAATTGCCCTCCCTCTGGTGACGCTAAGTAAATACTTAGTGATAGACTGATGGCCCCAGTTGCCCAACTGAAAGACTGCAGTTTAAAAAGCCATAAAGGACAAAGCGGGGGATCTGAAAATACAGGTGCAGAATGAAAAGGGAGAATACTCTTTAGAAGTGAAGTCCAAGGACTCCCAGTAATCTTATTTCCTCATCTCGAATTACATAAGGTGTATTTGAAACTATCACCATGCATAGTGCCAGACCCAGTGCAAATTCTTAATAAATGTCCTTCTTCTTTCTTTTTTTCTGTCCTTGTTCAAAGGGGAATCACATAGACTTTAGTAAAAAGTTTTAATGGTATGTGAGAGTTGGCATACAGAGGACAGGTGAATTTTAAGAGTCTCATTGGAATTGTGGGAATCACAGATGGAAGAGAGGTTTGAAGAAGAAATCAGATAAAGAAAAATGAGTTGTCCTTAAAGCAATAATGAAAAAAATCTAGGGAAAGTGGTTAAAAGAAAAGAGAGGTTGAGAGAAAAAAAATGTGAGTTAGCTAACAGAAAAAATTCCAAAGGACCTGAAAACAATGGACTCACCATGAGATGACCACTGCTTACAGTGACCTCTGCAGAAGAAAGAACAGACTGGCTTTTCTGTTCTGTTCACAGTCTTCCCCAGCAGACTGTGAGCTTGCCAAGGGATACCCAAGCAGCTTTATTTTCCCCATATTTGTCTATATCTCCTCACAAATAACCTAGTTATTATTCACAATGCAGCCAAAGTAATCCTTTTAAAAGACAAATCTCATTGTATCTCTCCTCTGCTTAAAAACTAAAACTATTGGGCTGGGGTATAGCTCAGGGTTAACGTGTGCTTAGCATTTGTGAGGCCCAAGTTCAATCCCCACCTCCAAAAAAACAAAAACAATAACAAAAGAAACCAAACCAAATCAACTAAAACCTTGAAGAAAACCACAGTCCTCTTAGTTATATACAATGACGTATGGTGTGACCCCTGGCTCACTTCCAGCCCTCATCTGATTCCCCTTTCTCCCACTTTGGTCCAGCCAGTGGCCTTTACAACGTTCCCTGTTGATGCCGAACTGGCCACTGGCTCAAAGCCTTGGGACTTGCTGTTCTTTCCATATATATATCTATCTATCTATCTATATATATATAGATATATATATATATCTATATATATACATATAGATATAGATATACATATACATATATATACATATACAGACACACATATACATAAGTATACACACATAGATATACACATATATGTATGCATATATAGTTATACTATGTATAATGTATACATACACTATGCAGTTACTTAAGTACTATATATATACTACGTACATAGTGTAATTATATATACTTATATATTTGTGTGTGCATATATATAAATATGTATATATAAAATATATATACACATACATATATATGTATATGTACATATGTGTATATATATATATGTGTGTGTGTGTGTATATATATATATATATATATATATATATATATATATATATAAATTCTATCAAAACAAGGACTTTGCTTTGTTTACTCTAGCATTAGATATGCTCATAAGATATGGATTTAACCTTGACTGTGCTGCCAACCTTGAACCTAGTTCTTGCAGATTATGCCAATAGCCTCTCCTCAAAGATCTGATGTCAACAGAACTTCATTCTGAGGTATTGTTAGTTAAGGTTTCATATGAGAAACAAGATGAAGAGAAAAGAGTTGAAGTTACAATCAATTTAAAGTGATCTACAATCAAGGAGTAAAATATCTGCATTTGTAGCCCCATGCAGAGAGACTGGTTGCCAGTTACATGTTATGGGCACATCTAGTTATTGCTTACATGATTTACAAGCTCACAAAACATTTATATTCAGAGATGGGGCCTAAAAGGATTATGGTAAATCAAGAGGATAAAATACTCAATCTGTTTATCAACATTTGTTTCTACAGTTTCAAACAGGATTTGCTGATGCTAAGCTCTGAGATAGAGGTGATCTACATTGATGTTTTCAGAATGCCCCAAGTCAAAGCAAAAGAGGCATGTGGTTCCTGACTCCAAGGGTTTTGTCCACCCTTTCAAACAGCCAACTTCATTTTAGCAACAGCTCTGCCTATTTCATTCTGAGACCTGAAGCATAATGGGTCACATAGTCCAGAATATTGCATTCATAGATCTGATGGGATACAGATGCACTTTCCTTTGCAAGACAATAGAAAGAAGGTGGAAGAGAATGAATATTGTTGCAAAAACATCTGAGCTGGAGATAAACTTTGAATCATTAAAATATAAAAATTAATGAAGTCAAGAGCATAGTTGGGATCACCTTGGAAGAGATGAAAAGATAGAACAAGAGGGCCAGAAACCCAGTTGTGATGAACTTTGATGTTGATGGTCAAAGAAAGGACCATGAGCTTGAAAAGGAGTCAGAGACATAGGAAGAAAACTGGGAGAGGGTAACATTTTGGAAAGCCAGAATATTAAAAGGAGAGAGCAATAATCAGAGCTACCACACGCTGTTGAGTACACATAAAGGGGGTCTGAGAAACAGCCTGTGGCTTTACAAAGCACAGGTCACTCCTTAGTCTCCTCCAATCTGGGACAGCTCTTCAGTATTTACATTTCATAATCTTTTGAGGCCTATCGGCTAATAATTTAGTATATTAGCTTTCAATTTGGGCTTGTCTGATATCTTCTTGAGCTGACACTGAGTTTATATATTTTGGGCAAGAACATTCCAGAAATGATGTGTCCTTGGTATGTTATAAAGGCAGGTACATGATATTGACATATCTTATTGCTGGTGCTGTTAACTTGGGAAAGGTGTTGTCTGCCAGATTTCTCCACTGTAAACGGACTATTTTTCCATTTGTATCAATAAGTATCTTGTGGTGAAATCCTTTCACAACGTGTGAGAAATTTGGCTTTTATATTCTACCATATATTTATTTACTTGCTCAATTGAAGTATATACATAAAAGATTTGAAAAATGGCTAACCCATACACTTACAAAAAAATAAATTTACTTATCAGAAGTACATATTTTATATAGACTTATTTTTATCTTTAACTATTCAGCATATGGTCAAAATATCCTTTTCCAAAGTTATCTGGGTTAGTTCTTTTCCTTCCCCAATTCCCTTTAGTGTGGTTATGTTGTTTATTTGTAATACAGTAGGTTCATTTTTCTATTTATCTATCCATTGATTTATCTATCTATCTGTATTCATTTTAAGGAAACAAGAAGCATCACTATGGTTTTAGGACTTAGCCAGTTACATAAAAAAGTACTCAGAGAAGCAGTATTCTCTCCTACCATCCTGCTCCTATTCCCACGTACTTTCCATGTCATTTCTACCCATCTTCTTTATGTACCCAATCCCACTAATTTCTGATGAAATCTTCCAGTATTTCTTTTGCACATATATTTTCTTATATCTCCTTCTTGAAAGAGAGTATGTTGTAAACTCTGCTTTACATTTAGTTTTACTAATATGTCCCAGAATCCACTCCACATCAGCTACTATGCTCAGTTTACAGGTAAAGAGACAGACCTAAAGAGGTTGAATAACCTGTGCAAGGTCACATACCTAGTAAAGAATAAAGCTGGGATATAAACTCAAGAAGTTTTGACTCTAAAATCCAGACACTTTCATCTACATCAGAGTTTTTTATCCAGAGCCTTGGGCATATTCTTATAGGATCTTTAGGTTCTCAGAGTTGTCTCGGATCTTTCTAAAAATTCATAAATGATGTTCTGGACCATCCGTATGACTGAGTATTTTATAACCAAGTCCTGTCAGATGTATTCACTGTCCATAGGATCTGAAGGTCATGAAACACCCAAAGTGAATATCACTCATGCAGTCACACAAGGAAAGCTGTAGGGAAAACAGAGTAGTTACCTGGCTGTGGCCTTGGCTTGCAATTCAGGGAAGGCAGGGTGGCCTTGCACCAGGTGGTCTATCTGAAAGATAAGAGTAATAGGTCAGTTTTATAGCTCCTCTAATCTATGTTTAAGGTAGAAAGGATACATAAAAAAAGTATGTTTCTTCCAGCTCTTTGTCCATTGAGAATCCAAGAACATTAAAAGGATAATTTGTTTCTTTCAGAACTAGCTTTCCTTAACCTAGTGTCAACCTCTGGAATTTATAAAACCAAAAGTTTTAAAGAGAAGAAATGAAAATCCCAAGGCTAAAATGGTAGTAGCAGGTAGCATCAGGTTCATGAAGGAGGAATGAGGAAGGAAGGGTAACTCAAGTTCAATGTGGGGGGTCTGGCTGTTAAAAGTACTATGGCTGGATCACATCACTCCCCCTCCTAATCCAGGCTGTCACCTAGGGCAGTGTCAAAACCTTGAATTACTCAGTGTGTTTTACTAATGTAGCAGCTATGATAAAGGGGAAGAGGGAAGGAGTACAATGAGGGAATCCCAGTTTAAAAAATATGAGGTGCCCCAGAGCTGTCAAGAGCACCTCCCTGAACAGAAAGGTTGTCCCAGGGAAAACCAGGGTAGCTCTCCAAGGACAGAAATGTCTGAACTCTGTAGATAGTATCTTCTCATCTGAAATCACACATCTAGGATTTAATTCTTAATCCCTTGGATGGCTCTAAACAAAACAGCTTGTCCTGTGCACTGGGAACAGCAATGCTTCCCAGCTCTGCTCCTCCTGCTTCGACAGCCACACTGTGCTGGGGGTCCCTGAACCCAAGATGTGCATTTGTCCATGTTTACTTGAGTCTCTAGGAATCTTAAACAACCAATTCTGAGGGATTTATTTTCATTCAAACTATGAACAGACTGGTGATTTTGGCTATTTTAGAGACAGGCTCTCTGAGCATGTTTCTGGAGAGCCAAGGCTGTGTAAAAATACTTGTTCTGGGATCTGGCTCTGGTTCTCACCTGCTGTGTGACTCTGAGCATGTCACTGCTTTGAACTCAACAACCTCTTTGACCTGTCAGCCTCCTTCTAAAATAGCCTCCTTTTAAAGTTCCATTGGATTGGTGTAGTTTTATGAAAACATTTCAAATTAACAACCATTGGTCATTTCAATGAAAAAAAAAATTATGTGAGTTTTGAATATTTACTTCCTAGACGTTCAACTTTGGGTTACTGCGATGAGGCATATTCTGGACCCTCAAAGAATTTGTAAACTTGGGAGTGCATCAAGATGAACCCACTGAGATCATTAATGAATAATTAAAGGTATTACTTTTGATGCTATTTTCTTTTATGGGAGGTACTTGAGGAGTTTAGAGGAAGGAGATTTGAATGAGCTTACAGGAGGACATGTGTAGTGTATCCATGAATGAAATTATTTAGTATTTACTGGATGACTAAAGTACCAGGAACAGTCCTCAGGCTCTGGGACACAGTGAAAAGGAATAATACAATATTTAGTAGCATAAAGTAAGGTAGTCATTCATCATTTGGCAATTATAGAGACATGAAGAAGGAAAAAACGTTTATGGTTGTAAGGATGGAGGGAACTGGACTACCTGCTCTCCTGGCATCTTACAGGGGTTTGATAAATATTTGTGGAATGAGTGTGGGATGAATGAACCATGGAAGCGTACAGCATGCTCACACAACACTACATCTTTTTTCTCGGTGATTCTTAACAAATTTCACCTTTGTATCTATTTGTGATGGGCACACATTGGTCACAGCGTAAATGCATATTAAATTAGAGAATAAGTATAGTGGCAGAAATATGGATGAATGAGGGGAGTTGGGATAGACAGTGTATCTTGAAAGTCAGATAATGGTTCATACTTTTTTTGAATTGGAGCCATAGGAAATGACTTGGATTGAGGGAACAAAATGATGAAAAGATAAGGAAAATTTATCCAGCAGGGTGTGCAGAAGAGGGAGATAATAAGATATAGTGAGCAGGAAATGCAGGTGAGGATCAGAAGCCAACAGTGGGAGTACAGGGCACACACCCCAGTCCTTGCCCTACTGCAGCATTTACCAAGTTCATTTACAATCCTTAGTGTCTAGTCTGTCTCTGATCCTGCACTCTGGACACTTTCAAAATAACAGCCTCAATATGTCCCTAGAACAATGCCTGGTATCTGAAATGAATGAATGAGACCCATTTTGAGGAAAATAAAGCAAGCTTAGGGACAGACTAGTTACAGAATCTAAGAAAATCAGAGTCAGATGACTTTTAAATTTGGAGTATAAGAAAAGGCAATATGATTGTATAATTCTGCCCTTTTGTTTTCTGTTTTCTGGATGCCTTGACATCTGGGGCCTAGCTGACTCTGGAGAGGCAATCTCTCCCAGGGCTGGCCAACTCCTAAAGGTGGTGAAAGCTTTCCACCTTTTTCATATGAAAAGCAACTAATTCAGAGCTTATCTCTGTACACCCCTTCCTCTTGGCTCTTGCATGGGGGTTCTTTTGTTTCTCTAATCCCAGCCAGATACCAGATACCAGCTGACAGCCCTTTTACCCCCAGAGCCTGCTGAAATAATACAAGGTGACCTACACCAAGCCTGCTTACTCTACCCTGCTATATTCCTTCCCAAGAAAACTAGATAAAGATTCTGGCCTGAGGTTGTTCCTCCCCTCCTCTTGACTCTTAACTGACCCTGATGCTGCCACAGGGTTTCTTCTCTTCCAGGGAATTGAGAATAACAAACTAGCTTTCCAATGGCAACTGTCTCTCAGTCTGTTAGCCTCAGCATAGGTGAATAATAATAAGCAAGCCCACATTTTAAGATATGGAAAAAAACCAAGGGCTTTGCCAATAGAGTCTTGCTGTCTATCCTTATCTTTTGTGAAAACTTCAGAAGTTACTTAAACTCTCAGAGCCTCATTTCTGTACTTCAGCAAAAAGGGGACAATAAAATTTCCAAGATAGGGAAGGTTGTGGTGAGTGCCAATTGTGTAGGTGGCTATCAGTTCATAATATCTATTATGAAGAAGAATGAGTATAGCCCAAAAGTGAAAATGGTTATGGGAACAGGATCCCAGCCCACTGTACTTTTTATTTTCCACAGCATTTGGTGGTAAAGGCCTCTCTGATTAAAAAAGGACGCACCAGTTGGTCAAATCACTGAGTGCTCACTTCAGCAGTCTGGAAGTGTCTGTTCCTAGGGTTGACCTTAGAACTTGTGTTCTAATCTCTAATGCATTTAGCACAGTATAGAAGAACATGGTGTCCCACAAGTCGTATTTGTTTCCCAATGAGATAACCAGATTCACAACAACGACTGTCATTGCCAAGTGGTTGCCTCAGAAATATACTGACAGAACTAGTCTAACTGCGACTTTTTCTTGTTTCTGCCATCTTCTTAGATTTCGGCTCCAAGAGCAGACAGCTGAAGAGTAGGCTGGAAAGCTAAACACTACTGGGACAGGAAGGAAGCTGGAGATGGTTGGAGGCAGGTCTTTCTCAGACCAAGACAGAAAAGTCACCTTATGGTGAGTAACTTAGGATGTTGGGCCCTTCCTTGTCAAGGTAGCATCTGTGCTAGGAACATGGAGAAACAACAGTTCAAAACAGTCGAAAGCACAGATCATAACTGGGTAGTGCAAGGTGGCGTCTGGCCCACAGATGTATTTTATTTAGGATATATAATGTTTTATAAAACGAGCCAATATTTTTAAATTGGGAGCTTTCCCTTAAAGTCCTGATTCTGGTTTCTCTTGCAGAATTATTTCCCACATGGCAAGAGTTGGCTGAGTGATGGCTGGTCCTGCACACAGGCCTCCTCTCTCCAGCTGTGAGAGGTTGCAGGCTCCCCACCACTCCCCAGCAAAGCACACCACATTTTATCCATTGATCATCACGATTCCACTAATGTTTTACTTGCGCTGAAGATACGTTTCTCTGCAAAGGAAGGAACAAGAAATTGAGCCAGAGTACAGATGCAGGAGAAACTTCTCTGAGGAAGTGAGAACTGTTCCTTCATTAATCTCTTTGCTCATTTACATGGTCTGACTTCTTTAGGCACTTGAGTTTCTGACCTTTGATATGGAAGAGAGAGGACAGGACAAGGAGTCCTGAGACCTGAGCTGAGTCCTGAGACCTGAGCTCAGGTCTGGCTCAGGACAAGATCTTGAGCCAGACCATCTCTGATTCTCTATGAAATGCTAATAAATCAATATGACAAATAGCCAAATGTGTGTGAATTGCAGAGAGAACTGTATTGCCTGAGCAACCAATGTTGCTGACAAAGAGTTTGGAGGTAAAAACAAAACAAAACAAATTCATAAAATCAGCAAAACACCTCCTCCAACAAATGCAAACCCAGAATTTATTTCAATAATCTTAAGTTCTATGGTCATTTAGCTAAAGCAAAGCTCTTATTGCAAGATGACTTTCTTTCCTATTAAAATCAGTTTACATATTAGTCTTAAAGCTTTTACTGTGTCTTGCTGGCAAAGAAATCACCAAGCTTCTTTTAAAAAAGCATTTAGCATTTTTCAGAACTGCTTTTTCTCTATTTACATTAAGCTGTAATACCACTTTTTTCAAATCTAAGCCATTTTAACTCTTTATTTATGTAAGTCATCTTATCTGGAAACCAAAACACTTGCTGATTTTTTCCTTCTTGAAATCCTCATAAGAATATAATGAAAAACAAAGTGCAATCTAGGCAACTTCTCTGTGCTACTGAAGAGGACTATGGGTCTCTATACTGAACAGTCCTGAAGAGTAACACATACTCCCAAAAGACAGATTAACAAGTTTTTCATTGAAACTTCAAGATGTTAGCTAGAAGAACTCCACTTACTAGTGGAAAAATTCTGAGTGAATACATTGCTAGTTCAGTCAGTCTCATTCACCACCAAAGTTGATAACTTTGTAAATATTTAGTTTGCTAATTAATTTACTTATTTATGAAACTAACATGATGTATGTTTACCTTGTGCTATCCACTATTCTGAAAACTAAGGATAAAAATATAAAGAAAAGTCAAAAGTCTTTGCTCTCACAAAGTTCTGCCTACA